TGTGTGTGTGTGTGTGATGGGGGGAGAGAGAGAGAGAAAGGTGAGTGGAGCTGCCTGTAAGTGCTGGGACTGAGCCGTCTTCCAATCTATTAGCCCTCGGTAAGAGGAGGCCAATGGGGTCACAGTGAGAGCTGGTGATCTAAAAAATTGCTGGTGTAGAGGCAGAGAAAATTGTCTGCAAGGTCCAGAGCTCCAAGAGGCCTTAGAAAGATGTAAAACAACAAACCCTCAGTCGAGGAGAAGGGGTTTTGGTTTAAAGTCAAATCCACCCTGAAACTTTGTAACATAGCTGTAAAATCAGGTTTTGGCGTCAGTCCCTCTGAATTCAAAGAGCGAAGAGATTCTCTCCAGACATCTAACTGTCTGATAGGGAGACATCCATCACGACGGAGGCACAGATATCAATTTATACGCCTACTGTCGGCTCAATAGACCAGAATTCAATGCAGCCAAAACAGATTTTGCATTTTGAGTGAAAGGCTGTGACTTTTTCCATACTGGAAAACTCTTGCTCTCGTGCTCCTGTGCTCTCGCTATCACTGGCTGACTGTTGCTTTTGCTCTCCACGCCTACTCCCGTAACCCAAAGCAACATGCAGAGACGCCTTCTCAAAGGGTTGTGCAAAGTTGTTTTGGGAAACGTAGGAAACCACTGAGGAAGAAGTCAGTGTGAGAGAAATTTCTTAGAAAGCACTTAATGATATACTGATTTTATTAGAATATCTCATTTCAGATTTTGACTGCAACTTCTTTCTAACTAATGGTCACCAGTTATATCCTCGTAAAGAAAAAAAATGTCTTTACGAGGGGAATTCCAGCAATTTAATATCTAAAGTTTGGTGAACTTGTCAGGAAGAGTAGTACCCTGCTCATGAAAACAGCTGTATGGAGTCGTCTGTGTTGTGTCATAGTAATAACATCAGAGTTATCTCGGCTTGGGCGTAAAACATTAACATAAAAGACGGTGGTTGAATTTTGACCATTCCCTTTTTCATGCCTGTCTCTTGTGATTAAAAAATATATGCAAGGAGAATGCTTGAGAATCTTGATTAAGTCAGGGATCAAAATGAGCCGTTGATTGGCTCATATGCTGACACAAGAGAGTAACAGGACCTTCTATGAATAGGCAAATTTGCAATGTATAATTTCACTGTGTGTATGTTTAGTGCTAAAGAATAGTAAAAACAGCTAATGACCGTGTTTGTCCTTTTCGTGATTAAGGCTTTGTGTAACACGCACACGCACACACAAACACGCACA